TCTTACCCCTGTACTGCCTCTCCAGTTACAAACCCTCACCCCTGCGCTGGCTCTCCAGTTCCATACCCTCACCCCTGCACTGGCTCTCCGGCCCTACACGCTCACCCCTGTGCTGGTTCTCCAGCCTCGCATTCTCACCCCTGTGCTGGCTCTCCAGCCCCACACCCTCACCCCTGCGCTGGCTCTCTGGCCCCACACGCTCACCTGCGTGGCTCTCCGTGGCACTGCAGGAATTGAACGCAGCGTGAGGGGTTGTGGATGGAAGTAGGGACTTGCTGTGGTTCCCACGCTGATTGCTTCCCTTGTCCCCGAGTTTAAACGTCCTTGTGGGGGACCGTCTGTGTGTGTCGGCGGCACTCTGTCATGTCACTGTCACCATCGTTTCCGGGTTTCTCAGTCAAGAGTCCGTGTCTGCCGCCTGTAGGTTCGTGCTGTTTGGAACCCGCGAGCTCTTCTCATTGGTCTGATACAGACAGGGTCACTTTCCGGGGTATTTTGAGGAGGGAGTAAACGTTGGTCGTCATATTTTTCCAGCCTAGAATTTAAGGACTTTATCTTTCTCATACTTCCTTCCAGACCTTTTCCGTGGCTCCGTAATTCTGTGCCCGGAGCAGGTCGATCCCTGCTTTGTCCGGCACCATAGCCCGGCTCGGTGGGCGCTGTCCTCGCTGTGACTTGGGGCTGCCCGTCCTGTGACTGTGTCCCCATCCCCTTGTGCCGCCCTGTCCTCCTTCCTGCGATTTGCTCCTTCCGCGTGGGCCTTCACGCTTGCGGCCTTGTTCGTTTGTCCGGCCACGCGCCGGGCTCTGCGCTCTGCTGGAAGCGCACGGTGTGTCCCTCCCCACCCCGCCCCCCGCCCCCGTGGCACCCAGTGTGGCTTGAAAGCAGAGACAGAGGCAGAACCACAGCTGCACTGAGGGTGAGCAGCAGGGAAGAGACGTGGGCCGGCACTCGTGGGGGTCTAGACGCAGCTCTGGAGCCAGACCTGGCCTGCGTTCAAGCCCAGCTGTGGCGCCTGCGAGCCCCCCCACGGCGGGTGGGGCCCCTTCTCTGCCCAGTGTGTTCACCTGAGACCCAGCCCTCCCCTCGGGGGTCTCGCGGGGATCGGGCTCCTGGTGCTCACGGGGCTTCCCTGGTGTGATCGTCACCGTAGGGAGACCGTCCTTGTGATGAACAGTCAGGCCCTCCCAAGGAAGACACTGTTGGTCTGCTCTCCTGCTGTCACCCACCCCCTTGTGTCACTCGGCCTCGGTCCGTCGGGCTCGGGCATGTGCCGCACTTGGCCCGGTGCTCCCTCTCCTCCGTCTGCCGCCAGCAGCTCTCACCCACCAGGAGGGCGAGACTGAGGCCGCGGAAGGGGATCGGGGCCTTCTGTGGGGCTAGATTTAGGTGTCTCGCGGGCCTGTCGTGACATGTGGTCCCACGGACTCAGAAGGTGTGCGTGTATCAGTCAGGCGGTGGCCAGTGGCCCGGGGTCCAGCGGCCTGGCTCTCAGAGGCCGGATCCCGGCCCCTAGGCTCCGTCTTCACCCGGGCAGCGGAGACCTGGGGACGGCTGCCCAGCAATTGTCGTGGTGCAGGCAGATCAGGAGTGTCATGCTGACCCGTAATCCCTAGCAAGTGCCCCGCGAATGTTAGCGATTGAAGGGATCACGGAAACGTCATTTTCTCTGTGGGTTTTAGGCTGGTTATGGGCCACCAGCCCCACGGCGATGTCCAGCCTGGGGCACGTCTCGGGGAACGGCCCTGGCTTCTGTCCCGTGAGGGTCCAGGAGCCCGCGGTTTCCCTGGCCACTCCCGGCCGGCCCCCGAATTTTCCTGTGGCTGTGGCCAAGGCCGAGTGGCCAGAGCCTCCCTGGGAGCCCCGGCAGAGCGGGAGAAGCACACTGATGAAGGGCTGCGCCCGGCAGCACGTGTCCGGCTCAGGCTTCCTGTCCTCAGGCTTCAAGGCCAGAGCCAAACGTGTCCCCACGTTTGGTAGAGCTTGTCGCCGGCCCGTGAGGCCTCTTAAAACATGGCAGATGCGGCAGACGTTAACCATTGGTGAATTTAGGTGAAGGGTATGTTGGGTTCGCTGTACTTCCCTTCCAGCTGGGCCAGAGTTTGACGTCTTCCACGTGGACACGGGAGGGACGTGCTCTCCGGAGCGCCTCACCCGCTGTCAGTTGCAGGTGTGGGTCTCTAGTTGAGGGCGTGTGCGGTGTGCAAAGTGGGTGAGTAAAAATGAGCACCCGCAGAAAGTGTGCTGTCTGTCTGCTTAGGAAAGAATGGAGTGTGAGGGACGTGAGTGCAGGTAGGTGTCTGCACAGAGCGGGGACGTGGGTCCTGGTGGCCGCGGCGGTGGTCGGCCCTAATTCAGCGGGACCGTTTAATTGCAGGGGCGGAATATTAATTATGTAGAATAATCAGCCTTCAGCTGGTGTGAATCGACGGGTCTTCTCTTCCAACAGGACAGCCTCCAGGGGTATAAAACCCAGAATAAGTTTCTCAACAAGGAAATTCTGGAGCTCTCGGCGCTGCGGAGAAACGCAGAAAGGAGGGAGCGGGACCTGATGGCCAAGGTGGGTCGGGCGCGGCTCTGTGTCCTGGTGGCGGGGGACCCAAGCCTTCCGGAAGCGGGTGCCCGCAACCCTGTCCTGCTGCCGGTGGGGGGGGTGTGGTCACGACCCCGAATCGTTGGGAGCGCAGAGGGCTGGGTGCTTGGTCTCATCTGAGGCGCCCTGCTGTGTCCCATCTGCACGTATAACGGGATTCACAAAAAAGCTTAAATCCTATTCTGAGGCCCCCAAAGGAAGGCTCCTTGGATTGTGATTTTAGCTGTGGTGGGGGTCGATTTCCCACCTGTAAACGGGGAAGGGGGAGGACACCTCGCTGCCAGCCCAATGGTGGCGGTGCGAGAGTCTGATGGCATCGTGGTGGGAAAGGCAGCGTGAACGTGACAGCCGTCACCCCGTCCCCCGACCTGTGCCTGCGTGTTCTCCTCGGTGTCTGTCTTGTCTGAGGCGGCGGCGGACGGGAGCTGGTCCCAGGCACAGGGTCCTGGGAAAGCGTGGGTGCCACGCGGGCGCCTGCTCATGGCCCACATGCCAGGGACACGACATGACCTCAGGAACCGGCTCGTGCTCTGGTTCCTGCTGCTCCCTTCGGCCGTCCAGGACCCATGTGGGTGTTGGCATCGGGTCCTTGGTGCCGGAGCCCCAGAAGGGAGGGGATGTGACGGGTGGCCGGTGACATAAATTAATCTCTTGTCCTCCACACGGCCCCCCCACCTCTCCTCCTGGTAGTTGGGGGCTTGTCATTCATCGGCCGCCCGATGTACCTAAGGGTTGTGTATCCCGCGTCGGTCGGGACGGAGGTAACCCCCATGCTATCTGTAGTATTCCAGCCTGGAAGCCAAGCTCTGCCAGATAGAAAGCAAATACCTGATTCTGCTGCAAGAAATGAAGACGCCCGTGTGCTCGGAAGAGCAGGGGCCCTCCCGCGAGGTCATAGCCCAGCTGCTGGAGGACGCTCTGCAGGTGGAGGGCCCGGAGCAGCCGGAGCAGGCATTCGTGAAGCCTCGTCTCGTCAGGTAAAGGTGCTGGCGGGTGGTGGGACCCCCTCCTGAAGCCCCCTGCTGCAGCCACAGCGGCCGTTCACGGGGAGCGGGACACGAGGCCGTGTCCCGGCGAGTAGGCGCCCCGTCCCGAGACACAGCTGCACCCGATGGCATTGTGGCGGGAAAGGCAGCGTGAACATGACAGCCGTCACCGCATCTGAGAGCACGGGGGCCCCCGAGTGGGGAAAACGCTTGGGTGGCCTGGCTCGGCGGCCCAGCACCCACTGAGGCTCCGACGTGTGCCGTGGACACACTTGGACACGCACAGTGTCGCACATGTTAGAAAATGGCGGAGTCTGGAAGCCCGTGCCGGCTCTCCCCTGGGGTCCTTAAGTAGTAGTTTCTGAAGAATGAGATCCGTGAGACGTTGGACACGGAGGAACGTGCAGATTCGGTCCCGTCTCCTCTTGTCTCCTCCGCTGGCCGCTCCGGGACGGCCCTGCTGCAGGGGCCTCGCACCTCCCGCCCCGGTGAAGCCTGGTCAGCACCACCTCCCCGCGTCTGCGCTCAAGCGCGGCACCCGCACTGCCGAGGCCTGTGCGCCAGGAGCCGTGCGGGCTCGGCGAGGCGGGTGCGTGTACCCTCGTGCCGCACGGGAGGCTGAGGCCGTGGGGGAGACGTGCTGGCCACGGTCATGGTGCCCGGGGGCAAGGACAGGGCCCGCGGACGGCACCCCGGCTGGCGGCTCTGGAGACACCGTCCTTCCTCCCTCCCTCGTGCGCCGTCGGGCCCTCGCTGTGTACATCGTACGCGTTCAAACCGCGTGTAACTAGAACGCTGACTGTACGCACGGACTCGTTTTTACTTGATGAAAATTTCAAGCCTACAAAGTGACGGCCAGCAACACCCCACGTGTACCGTCAGCAGTTACCAGTGTTTGGCCGGTCTGGTTTCGTCTTCCCCTCCCCCAAGGTTTTTTCCTGTAGTTATTTTAAGGCAAATGCCACTCATTTTGTCTTTTCACCTTAAAACACTCCAGGATGCGTTTCTAACTTCTAACTGATGGCCCTCTTTCGTAAGTGTATTTACTTGGAGAGAGGAAGTGTGTCTGGGTGTGCACATGTGCCAGGGAGGGGCGGAGAGGGAGGGAGAGAGAGGGGATCCCCAGCAGGCTCCACGCTATCAGCGCAGAGCACGACGCGGGGCTCGAACCCGCGAACCGCGAGATCACGACCTGAGCCAAAATCCAGAGTCAGATGCTCAACCGACCGAGCCACCCAGGCGCCCCTGATGACACTTTTTAACATGCGCATCCCACCACGTTCTGTGTTTTCGCAACTGCCTGCCTTCAGCGTTAACTTCCTGAAATCGCACAGGGGGATACGTGTGGCTCCGGGCATTTCGTTCTTGCCTCGAGTACCTTCCCGGTAGGGGGGGACGTGTGGTGCCCGGGCCTCGGTGTCTTCATTCCTTCCCCTCGTGGTTCCTTCCGTGCTCCCTTTACCAGATGAGGCGGGCGAACACGTGGCTCGTGGGTCTGCCTGTCTGTGTGCGAGCTCCCGTCCTGCCGGGTGTAGAGTGGAAGGGGGATCCCCGACCTGCAGGGGACACAGCTGCAGCCGCGCCAGGGCGGGTTTCCGGAGCAGCAGGGCACGGAAGGCCCGTGTGCTGGTTTTCCCGTGGCCGGCCTGGCGGGTCGCCACACACTTCGCGGCTTCCAGCGCCGCACTTAGGCTTCTGCCGGCGGCCGACGTGTCCTGGGCTGCACTCCTTCCCCGCGGCACATGGTCACGGGATTGTCGGCGGAACGCATTCCCCGGGCCGCCGGGCGTGGCGTTCAGCCCCTGCTTCTGGAGGCCGCTGCGTGCCCGGGCTCCGGCCCCCGCTTCCTTCCGCAGCCGGCGACAGTGGGCCACGCGGCCCCTCTCCTTCGACTCCCACCGTGAAGGGCTCCTGTGCACACGCTGGCCCCTGGAACACCCGGGGTGAGCTCCCCGCCGTGAATGCCTTTTGTGAGGCGACCTCGTCACGGGTGTGAGGCCCTGGGGTTTGACGTCCTCGGGGCCACTGTCCTGCCTTCCACGTCCCTGATATCCACACAAATGTTTTCTCCCTCGTCTTTCCGCTTTTTAAAATGACGCTCTTCCAACACAAAAGTTTCTCGTCCGTCCAGGTGTGACGTACACACACGCGTGCATCAGCGTGGCCGAATCTCCCAGTAACGCCGGCGTCTTCCGCTGTGCTTTCCACACCCTCGGATTCCCTTTTTCTCTTGGTATCAAGAAGAGGTCTAGTCCAACTTGCCCCCGCGCAGACAGCCGGTTGTCCTGACCCCGTTTACGGAGACGTTCAGTCTCTCCTGGCCGCTCCAGCGCCGGGGCCCGGGTCACGGGGCCACGTGCATGTGGCTGGCTCTCTTTGCCGTTGTGCCGTTTTTGTGGAAGTCACATCATTTTATTTTCCTCCTGTTTTTCTCAACAGCGAGTACGACATCTACGGGTTCAGGACCGTCCCAGAGGACGACGAGGAGGAGAAGCTGGTGGCCAAGGTCCGCGCGCTGGACCTGAAGACGCTGCACCTCACGGAAAACCAGGAAGTGTCCACCGGCGTCAAGTGGGAAAACTACTTTGCGAGCACGATGAACAGGGAGATGGCGTGCTCCCCGGAGCTGAAGAACCTGATCCGGGCGGGCATCCCGCACGAGCACCGTTCCAAGGTGTGGAAGTGGTGCGTGGACCTCCACACCCGGAAGTTCAAGGGCAGCGCCGAGCCCGGGTACTTCCAGACGCTGCTCCAGAAGGCGCTGGAGAAGCAGAACCCGGCCTCCAAGCAGATCGAGCTTGACCTGCTGCGCACCCTGCCCAACAACAAGCACTACTCCTGCCCCACCTCGGAGGGCATACAGAAGCTTCGCAACGTCCTGCTGGCCTTCTCCTGGAGGAACCCGGACATCGGCTACTGCCAGGGTCTGAACAGGTGGGTGTCGGCCCCACGCTGCTCCTGCGTGCCCCCCACCGGACGGGCCGGGCCCCTCCCCTGCGGGGAAGTTGCGGTCGGCTAGGCCGAGTGACGCAGCGTCCCCTGGGGCGCCTGCCGGCTCGGTCCCTTGAGCAGCCGACTCTTGACTTCGGCTCAGCGCACCATCTCCCTGTTCGTGAGTTCAGGCCCCGTGTGGGGCTCTGTGCTGACCGCTCCGAACCTGTTCGGGATTCTCTCTCCATCTCTCTCTGCTCCTCCCTCGCTCGGGATCTCTCTCCGTCTCTCTCTCCAAATGAATAAACTTGAAAAAAGTAAAATACGAAAACAATGCCACTGCCAAATTGACGTTATCTGAAGCAACTACATTTCTTGTTCTGGTTCCTCACGAGGCTCAGGGTTTGACCAGAAGTTTGATCTCACTATACTTTCAATTATAATTTTATATGATTTTACGCTCATAACGCACGAAGCGGATGCTGGTGGCCATTCCTCGTTCATCCAGCATCTTCGTGAGTTGAGAAGTTGCCCCAGATGGTTCTGCGGCTGGTTGGAACCTGGCACCTGTGGACGAGAGTCTGCGGGTCTCACGCACGTCCCTGCTTCCATAGGCGGAGGACACTGGGAGGCCGCCCACCTCGTCGCTCCTCATTCGGAGCCGGGCTAGGGCGGGACGAGGCCACCGGAGGCCCCGGGGTCTGCGCCGCAGGGGGCTGCGTGCCGTGGCTGCTTGGTGCCTGGTGTCTGTGGCTGACGTGCTTTCTGCACTCGCTGGCCCTGCGTTCGTCCAGTGATGCTCTGTCCGTGCAGCGGGAGCGGGAGATACGTTGAAGCGTGAAGAAGCTGTGTGTGCTTGCGTGCGTTAGGAGTTTTGCCATAAGCCAAGCGCACACGTTGAGTTGTGGATGCTGACGGTTAATTCTGGCCGCTCGCAGGCCCTGACTCCCCCTCTGTGCCAGATACTGACCTCCAGTAAGGGCCGTGTGTTTGTGTCTGAGTGGCCGTGCTGCAGAAGGAAGGTTTCAGCTGGCGTGTTCACACTAGGCAGTTCCCAAGGAAGTCACCTGCCTCTGTGGTGGGGAGGACGGATATGCTGTCTGTGCCCCGAAAGTGATGGATTCGGCTGCCCTTTTGCGCCCCCGTTAAAAGAACAAAAGCTGTAAACAGGATGTAAGGAACGGTTTAGTTCTCTTTGAATCCACGATTCATGTGGAACACCCAGTCTAACAGTTTCCAGAAGCCACAACCCTCCGAGGGCCAGCGGATCCCTCTGGCACGCCTGTTTGGGGGCGACGCTGGCGCCCCGTTCGTCTGGCGCTACTGTGAAACCTCCTCTTCCACAGTAAAACTTCCAGAAAATTGCCCCCATCATCCGCACCCCGTCACCCTTAGGGCCTCTTAACTTTAAGCATTTTATTGGGGTTTTCCCCCAAATATTTTACATGTGCCTCCTGAGAACCCAGAACTTGGGTAGAAGAATGTTAGCCTTTTGTGAGTGATCCAGGCCTACCTTCTTGAAACTTGGTTAAAGTGACGTCCTGCAGGCTGTGCTGACTGCAGACCCCTGGCCCCGCTCCCCACACCTTTGGGTGCTGCGGACTTGCCGTCTCTCCTGTCCGTCCCTGCCGTGGCCACCTGCCTGCGGCCCGTGCGGTCAGGCCTGCCTGAGGCATCCCCTTCCGCCGACCCCACGTCCCTCGTTTTAAGGTCTTAATTCGAGGTGAATCCATCGTAATTTTATGTGAGGAAGAAAAAGACCGTAACCAGCCTCGGAGAAGTAGGGTTAGGGTTTCCCGTAAGCGAGGCACAGAAGCTGTCAGAGCAGAGGCGCTTGGATTTCAGATGCAGAGAGAAGGGCTTTTTTTCTCGTTGCTTTGTGTCCAGATCCTGCCTGAATGCCTACTGGGAGTCAAGCCTGGGATCACTGGACAGGTCCGTGACTGGGGACAGTGTAACGGCTGAACCCAGGTTTCCTTTACGAGCAAGCTAACCATTGTTCAGGCTCCTGCCCCCACGTGCACGCACACCGTGGCCGCAGCTCCTTCTGAAAGCCCCTCGGCGTGGTTCTCTGTAACCCATCGTACACTCACCCCTGGACTTTCTGTGCACAAAAGAGCTGCATTAGCTAAGCATTTTTTTTTTTTTAACGAGGCTGGTTGATCATCGGGAAAGAATTTCAGCATCCTTAAACGAAAACCAAATGAAAGGGTTGGCGGGAGCAGTACCTTTGTTTCTCAAACATCGTTTATCTTAGTGTTTATTTTGAGAGGGGGAAGGGGCAGAGAGAGAGAGAGAGAGAGAGAATCCCAAGCAGGTCCTGTGCTGTCAGCACAGAGCCCGACACGGGTCTCGAACCCATGAACCACGCAGTCATGACGTGAGCTGAAATCCAGAGTCGGACGTGCCTCACTTGGGGCACCCGGCTGGCTCGGTTGGTGGAACACGTGACTCTTGATCTCGGGGTTGTGAGGTTGAGCCCCACATTGGGGGCAGAGATGACTTAAAAAAGAAAGAAAAGGACGAATGTGTTGCTCGTGCAGGAAGTTGCTTGTTCTTTGTTGGGGGACTGGAGGTGGCCGCGCCTGTGTAAGCAGACCGCGCGTTGCGGCTGACCAGCCGTGTGGCCCGGGCCCCGGTGTGCGGGGTGCTGGCCCTCACCTTGCTGTCCGTCTGTTTACAGGTTGGTGGCGGTGGCCCTCCTGTACCTGGAGCAAGAAGACGCGTTCTGGTGTCTGGTCACCATAGTAGAAGTTTTCATGCCTCGAGACTATTACACCAAGACGCTGTTGGGGTCCCAGGTACGGCTAGAAACACCGCGTGTCAGTCAGCGGCCTGGAGAGTCCAGCCGACACGTGGTGAATTTAACTTCGGTGGGGGAGGGGCTCCCGTGCGTGCTGAGCCTTGAAACAGACGTACGAGGAGGGCGTGCTGCAGACCCCGGGCCTGGCTGAGTGTGACCGGGCGGGGAAAGTCCCACCGGGCACAGTTGTTCCCCGCCCCCCCCC